GGTTTTTAATATTTATCCCAGGTTTCTACCCGATTCCTTAGGGACAAATACTCGAATATCGGTGGTGCTATTTATAATATTTTCCGAAGAATGTGGGCCGTCCCACATAGTGCGATTTCCTGGATGGTTTCTTCTTTTAGGTTTATTAATTATTATTATTATTATTATTATTAATAATAAAATCAAGGAAGTTATGAAGTTAATTGCATTCGTCGAAAAAAAAAAAAAAAATTTATTAATTTCGAATGTTGAATCATTTTCTCTCTCTCTCTCTCTCTCTCTCTCTCTCTCTCTCTCTCTCTCCCTTCCCCTCTCTCTCTCTCTTAAAAATTATTATTCAAGTATATATATTAAATTTTTATTTAAAGGTTTACTTTTACTTTTACACTAATTCGGTCGATATGTAGAGTAATAATAATAATAATAATAATAATAACAATAATAGTTATTGTTACGTCTTCTACCTTTCTTCTTCTTCTTCTTCTACCAATAACCAATAATTATATTTTTTTTTTGGTTAAATTATAAATATTTTTATGACAAAAAAAAAGCAGAAGAAGAAGAAGAAGAAAATTTTTTTTTTTTTTTGTTCCAACATGGAGTCCCTTTCACAATTCTTTTACTTTTTTTTTTTTAATTACCAACTTTTATTATTTTCGTCTCTTTTTCTTACTTACTTACTTACAAAAAAAACTGGTTTATTAAGTAAAGGAAAAATAAGTTTCCTAACAACAACTCCAACGATAATAATAATGATAATGATAAAAGGAGATGGAAAAAAGAAAAAAAAAAATTTCTTTTTCTAGGTCACGTTTGAATTTTGATCATGCGCTTAAAGGGTTTTTTGTACAAATTTTGCGTTTTTAAAAAAAAAAAAAAACTGGAAAAATGGCGAACAAGACTTGAAATTAAACACATACACATAAAAAAAAAATTTAAATTTATTAACACACAAAAAACAAAAACAAGAAAATGATTTATTTATTTAATATTATTATTATTATTATTAAAAAATTAAAATGAAAGTTTTTAAATCGGAAAAGGAAACGGATATAAATAATTATTTATTGAATGATAAAAATAATTTTTATCATAGAGTCAAGGGTAAGTTTTCATCAATTTTTACATACACACGTACACGCACACACGCACTTTTTTTTTGTTATTACGTAATAAGGTAGAAAAAGATAGAAAAAGACAAGAAAGAATAGGGAAAAAATCATCGATAAATGTTATTGACTGATAAAATAATAATCTTTTTCTTTTTTTCTTTTTTTTCCCTTCCAATAACTTAAAAAAAAACGAAACTAGGTCGTGTAAACTGGTTTTCTGTACCTAATAATATGTACCTAATAATACTGTCAAAAGAAAAAAGAAAAAAAAAAAACCACTAAACATGAAAATTACATAAGAAATTAATAAAAGTCACGATGTTTGACCACAACAACAAAATTAGAGCAAATTTTTTGGTTTCGTTTTATTGTTAATAAAATTATTATTATTATTATTATTATAATATGTGAAAATTCACAAGTGTGAGTGTACGTGTGCGCGCGTCCTAAGATTTAATTTTAATAATAATAATATTGTTATTTTGATGAGGGAGAGAGAAGAAGAGAGAGAGAAAAATTGGGAAATTTAAAAAATTTTCATTTATCGAATTTTATTATACGCAAACTCGCGTTTTACGTAGGCGTAGGCGCGTGCTCGCGTGCCACCTTTCGTTAATTTTTAATAATTTTAACCTTTTAACCTTTTTTCTATTTACAGGTGATGGTTCAACAGAAAACAAAAATAATAATTCCTCGGATGAAAATCAAACGCAAAGAAGGCTCATACACGTTGATTTTTCCGTTCTTAAGGTAAGTGAAAATTTTTTTTTTTTTTTTTTTCTCTCGTAAGAGGAAATGAAATTTTAAACTTTTTTTTTTTTTTTTTGCGACATTGAAAAACAAGAACGAAGGACAAAAAATTTTTTTTTCCCATTACGATAATAATAATAATAGTATTGGCAAAAAAAAAAAGTTGTTGGAGATTTTTTTAAAAATGCCTTCAGGTTGTCTTTTAAATTTTATCCGCCATTAAATTAATAATCCATTCAAGGTTTTAAAATTAATATTAAAATGTTTTTTTTGCCGTTTGGTTGTTGTTGTTGTTGTTGTGTGTGTGTGTTTGTAGGTATAAAAACATAACGAAAACTTGATTTTTGTTCTCTCATACTTTCACTTGAAACATTTCCTACATTTCAGGTTATCAAAGACGTGGAATTTTTTTTTTTTTTTTTTTTTTTTTTTTTATCACGACGGGTCTCGATGAGAACTTTTTAATAATTTTTGGTTATTTGATTGTTTTAAAAAATAAATTATTTGTCGAATGAGACGTGGAAACAGGAAACAAACAAACAAACAAACAAATGAAAAACAACCACTTGTTGATGAAATCCCTCAAATAAAAAAAAATTTTTTTTTTTTTTTTGTCAATTAAATATTAATGAACTGAAATGTTTACGGCATCTGCGCCGAAATCCTCCTCCTCCATTTTGATTTTCCTTTCCTTTTTCTTATCCCTTCTTTTTCCCTTTTTTTTTCGAAACGTTTTTTTTTTTTTTTTTTTTTATTTTGACTCGGGTCTCGTTTTCTAAGAATACAATCGATATCCCTGATGATTCATTCCCCCTAAAAATTTTTTATTTTTATTTTTACTCTCGTAGTTGGATGACGAAGACGAAGAAGAAGACGAAGACGATGTTGTACATAATAAATCAGAAGAAAACAAGGATCACGTTGAAGAAGAGAAAAAAGGATTAAGGGAAAATCATTCTTATATGAGGACAGGTATCATAACGCGAGACGAATACCATCGCTACTGTGACCAGGCACTGGAGTGTACGCCAATTTTTAAATAATTATTTTAAGGCTTTTTTCTACCTTATTTTACCATTATTATTTTTTTTTGGGCGTACTTTAGTTGCGTTTGTTGCATGTAGTGTTGTGTTTGTTTTTGTTTTTTTTGTTTTTTTATGTGTAGAAATTTACAAAAAATTTACATGTGTGTTATATCGATGATTCGTATGTGTTTAGCTTACGATTTGGCAACTCAGTGTCCGACGAGACGGGCATCGGTTAAAAAATACACATCGGATAATTCGGATCGTATCGGGAATAATTCATATTCCAGACCACATTCCAGACAGTCTGATACGAACACGACAAATTCGATATCACCGAGTTCGGAAGAATTGGCCAATCTCGGATCTACAATACCCGAAATGTCTTGGTCTAGGACTTCGTTACAAGAAGATCTCTTTCAATCGGTAACGTACCACGCACACCCACCACATACCACACATCACTTAGTTTAATAAAAAAGGGAAAACTAAAAAGGTACGATTTCCTTTTAGAAAACGTGGGTTCAAGAATGTCTTTCTTTGACTCTGGAAGAAATTGTACACATCAGGAGCGTGTTGACCAAAGCCGAATTGGAAGCTCTTCCCGTTGATGGTCACGTTAAAGAAGATGTCGAAAAGCGAAAAGTTTGTTTTTTATGTTTAAAAACGAGATTTAGTATTTTCGGTCCCTGGGGACAAAAATGTAGGCTTTGTAAGAGAACGGTTTGCGGTAAATGTTACTCAAAGGTGAGCGCCCCCTAATTTAAAGATTCCCTTTTAACAACCGTCTGGAAGACGGGAAGAAGTCATTCATTTGTTTATTTTGATTCCCAGATGAGAATTCCCACAGAGCATTTTGCTCACGTACCAGTTGTAGCTTTAAGTCCTTCCCTATTTAATTCTTCTGACGATGATCCCGATGGTCTATTGAGATCCGTTGGTTCGAGACTTTTAACTCCGGAGCCACGAAATTCGGTCGGAAGCGCCCCTTCTAGTCCGCATCTTACAAGGGGAGAATCAGCATCCGCTCCGGGTTCGAGAGTCGAATCACGTGCCGGTGATGGACCCCAATCACTTCCGGCGGGTTCTCCATCTCTTCCATATGAAAAAAGGTGAGAAAAAGAGAGAGAGGGAGAGGGGGTGGGTGAGTGAGTTAGTGAGCGAATTTTTATTTCTTTCCCTTTTTTTTTTTTACTCTTGTTTTCAGAGGGAAAATGATGAGATCAAAAACTCTCGGTCGACCGGATCCGGCAGCAGAAAAATTAAAAGGATTGGAAATGAGTGTTTGTTACGATTGTAAAGCCATGGTCATACAAATAATTAAATCATCTCGCACTAATAGAACAAATACAATCAGAAATTTCACTCTTAATTTATCACCCGTTTATTAATAATAATAATAATAATAATAATAATCTTTTATTTTTTGTACTATTTGTTGTAAATGTTAAAAGCTCTATATTTATATATATATATATTGAAAAAGTAACTAAAACCAAAGCCTTCTTGTACAGAGTTATAATAATAATAATAATAATAATAATGTTATTAAAAAAAAAAAAATTCTAATTAATAAATAATAATTATTATTGTAACAAAAATAATTTTCTTACTTAACTTTGAATAATTTTTTTCTTTCGTTAAATTATATATATATGTAACTTTTAAAAAAAAAATTGTTGATGAGAAAAATGGCGCGAATTAGTTTAGAAAAATTTATTATATATATAAAAAAAAAATTATTTATATATATATATATGTATGTATGTACGCAAACAATAAAAAAAAAATTTAAATATTTTCCGTTGGTTTTTGTTATCAGATGAGCTTTTCACAAGAAAAAATTTTCTTTTTTTAAATATTTATTATTATTATTATTATTATTATTATTATTATTATTATTATTATTATTATTTTCTCTGTTAAAATATTTTGTAAATTTTAATTTGTTTTGACTTTTTTTTCGTTCGTTCGTTTTTTTTTTTTTTTTTAAATGTGTATGTATTTATAATATTAATGTACAAAAATAAGATGAAGAAAAAAACAAACAAACAAACATTTCAATTATTATTATTATTATTATTAATATGTAAATTAAAAATTTATTTGAGAGAGAGACGGAAAGAGAGAGAGAGAGAGAAAAAACATTAAAAAGTTTTTAACTTTATGAAATTTATATTTTTTTTTTTTTTTTTTTTAAGAAAAACAATCGAATGTGTAAATGAGAAAGAGAAAGAGGGAAAGAGAGAGAGAGAGAAAGAGAGAAAGAGATGATTTAATTATTTCCTCCTCCTAATTCATCTTCATATTGTTTTCTAAAACAATCTCCGACTGGAAAAAAATCCCAACATCTTTGTTGATACATGTTCCAAACGTAAGTTTCTTGACCCGTGTATTCCGTATCCGGTTTGTTTATAAGATGCATCAAAAAAAACCTAAAATAAATAAATAAATAAATAATAATAATAATGATGATGATGATGATTTTTATTTTATTAGGATCACGCATAAAAGTAATTTTTTTTTTTTTTTTTTTATTACATGTAATTGGCCAAATTATGTTCTTGAGCAACGTGAGTATCAAATCCGTGAGGTACTTTGTCGAAATAATCTTTTCCTATACCGCAAATAAAACAATTTGATTCCATGTCTTCTTTAACACTTTCCAATTGATCTCTCAATTCTCCGAATGCGTCAATGATCAAACCTAAATTTATTTAAACAAAATTATTTTTTGAATTTATTACTCGTTTTTGTTTGTTCGTTTCGCAACAGACACGCTCACGCACGCACGCACGCACTTACGCACCTTGAATGATGGCCAACAATATAACGATGACGAAAAAGAAAAATGTTATGTCGAATAATATACGATAAACTTCATATTCGTCTCCGTCGGGGGGTTCAATTTCATCACCGATTCCACCCCCAGCTCTCACACCTTTGTACAAGTGAAATACGAAACACTGGAAAATTAAACAAAAGTTAATTGATGATGATGATGATGATGATTGAATGAATGAATGTGTTAAAAGTGGTACCGTTAACATGTTATGACATTTTTTATCAACTTCGTCGTCTTCTTCTTGTACGTAAAATTTTCTAAAAAAGTTAAAAGCGATGACCGTGTATATATAGACGATGATTGTTAATAACATGACCGTTAATATAAGCTGGAAAAAAATTTAAATTAATAATTTTATATTTGAGACAAAAGAAATTTTGTTTGTTTTTTTTTATAATAACCTGTTTTCCGTTGTGTGTGACAGATTGTAAAATTGTTCTTAACGTTTTAAAACCCACGGCAACGTCTAACAAATGAGCGGCAAAGAAAAAATTATTGAAATTTCCAAAAACGGAAAAAACAAAATACCAAAGACTGTATAGGAAAGCATGATCGGTTATCGTGACTCCAGCTTTCCAAACTTGATACCTCCAATCGATGTTCATGACGCTGAAATTACATTTTCATTATTATTATTATCATTATTATTAAATTTTGTTTGTTAAATATTTTTATTTACAAGTGTATGATTCCAGAGCCGGTTTTCCCATTTTCTTGTGCGCTAAACGACGTTCTTTCCATTCCTAATAAATTACTGATCGAATCGAAATCGTAAGTTTCGCTGTATTTCTGTCTGACTTTTTTCTTAACAAATTTATCCCAATAGTTGACCGGAAACGACCTGAAATTAATAATATTTTTATTAGTAAATAAAGGGTTTCCTCAAGTGGTGTGTGTGCGTGTGCGTGCATACTTGGCCGATATAACAAGTTTATCCCAATGAGATTTGATATCATCATCTTCCGGTTGTTCGGCGATGTACAAACCGTCAAATTCTAAACGTCTAGCAATTTCTTTTTCTCTTTTAAATATAGCCAAAGGTACTTTTAAGTGGTAGTAAGCAATGAGCATGGCTAGAGATACGAGAGAATGTAACATGGCCATCAATCGTAAAACGTGAGCCATGTAAAAATAATCTTCGCTCACGTGTACCTGAATTAAAAAAAAAAAAAAAATCATTTAATTTTATGTTTTGTTTCCTGTTCCTGTTGTAAATCGAATGCCTTACAATTTCAATGTCTTCCCCTTCATCCTCTCCACTTTCGTTACCCCCTTCTTCACTACCAAAATTATCACCTTTCTCGCCGCTGAAAACATCATTTAAAGAACTTGCCGCTTCGTTTGATGATTTGCTATCATTTTCTCCTTCCACGTTCGTCACCTATCATCATCAAAAATTTTTCGTTTTTATTTATTTATTTTTAATTAATTATTTATTAAATAAAATCGTTTAATTTTCTTAGTACTTTGTAAAGCAGAAGAATAAAATTAATACAAAATGCCAATACTAAAGCAACATATTTGAGATTATAAAAATTTCGCGCCAAAAAACTGACAGCTCTATGACCATAGGCATTAAAATCAATTTGCGATACGGCAGCAGGTTCACCAACGGTAGCATTTTGTTTTGCTTCTGATTCGACAGCGGCCATCACTGCTTGCTGTTGTGATTGTGCTTCTGCCGTGAGAACGGCTTCTTTTTTCGCTATATCTCCTCTGAAAAAAATTTATTTTTTTTATATATTATTAATTTTTATCGTTACTTATAAATTTTTATGATGTTTCTCAATTTTCGTTACCCTAAAAGATCTTGTAAAGTTAATTGTTCTTCTTTAGGCGAGTCTTGTCCTTCTTCCGTTGTATTTTCATCATTTTCTTCCCCTGTCGAAGGAGACGTTGATGATAAATTATCCGACTTATTATTATCATCTTTATGAGATATTGCGAGCGACCCGGTTTCTTCTCCTGTTAATGAAGGTACTCCCAGTGGTTTCAAAGGACCAAAATCTTCTTTTTCTTCGACTACTTCCTCCGTTGCTTCTTCTTTAGGACCTCTCATCAAATTCATTATCATACCAAGAAAATATCTAAATAATATAAAAAATATTGAAAATGACGAATAATAATAATAATAATTAAAAAATAAACTTTATTCGCATTCAAATGCATTTCTCACTTTATAACACTTGCAAATCCGTAACCGCTATAATAAAATATGTAAAAGAAAAATTTTAAAAAACATTTTATTTGTTCCAGCGGAGGTTTTTGCTGGAAATCCGAAATGTTACGTTTGATGTTCGAAGGGGAGAAAAATTGAAAAGCGTTGCTTATTCCACTTTTAACATATACAATGCTTCTTTTTACTGGATCTTTGGCCAATCTGGAAGAGAAAATAAAAATTGTCATATTGAATATTTTTTAACTTGGGGTAATTAATAATTTTTTTTTCTTACCGTTCTTCTTCATCATCTGCAACATATCGATAAGCTGCTTCTCTAGCTTTTCCGCTTCCGCTCGAATCTTCAACATCCATAAGAGCACTTGCATGGGTCATTTCGAAAATTGCATCTTCGCAAAAATTAACAAAAGCTTCAAGTTTTTCTTTATCTCCTCCTTCGGTGACAATCGAATAAAAGAAAGCTCTTTTTGATTCCTTAAAATTACATAAAATTGTTGTTTATTAATTCATTGAAAATTTAATAATAATAATAATAATAATAATAATAATAAGGAAAATTTACTTTAATTTGCGGTTTTTCCCATTGTTCGATATTTGATTCTTGAATTTCGAAATAAACCCTTTCGATACGTTTACTTCCTCCTAAAATTTCAATTCTTCCCAAAAAGGGTTCGAAATAACTTAAAACACTTCCGGCCGTTTCTAAAAATCTTGCCAATCTCGGTTCATTAGGCATGTGTTCAGATAAATTCGTCAACATGACGGCTAAATTAAATCCATTTTCTTTTGCAGGTTCGTAAAATTTTTCAGTAAATGTTACGTAATCAATTTTTCCATCGTGATTTGTTTCGCAACACATAAGCATAAATTCTATTTCCTCTCTGCCAAAAAAAAAAAGAAAAAATTAAAATAATTTTTTTTTTATAAAATGTGATCGTCTTCGATGTAGGTTCTTGGAAAAAAAAGAAAAAACTTACGGAGCATAACTTTTTTGCTGTTCCATTTTTTCTTTAAAATCTTTAGGTGTAATCCAACCATCGTTGTTATAATCGATTTCTTTAAACGATGGAGTTTCCGTTAAAACTTTTAGTTTAAGAAACATGTCGAAATATTTAAGAATGAGTTCAACGTTGGATGCAGATTCAACTAATGTATCCACCATTTGTTTTCCGATTGTACCATTAACGACATTACCTAAAGTTAAAAAACAGAATAAGAGAAAAGTCGAAATTTATAAAAAAAAAAAAAAAATGACATTACCTTCGAGCATTGATAACATCATTGTTATCATGTCTTTTTGAAGATTTAATAATTCTTTAAGTAAATCAACTTGACTGGAATGCTTTGATAATTTTTCTTGCATGTGAGAAAATAAAAAGAAAAAACCTCCGACTGCATCCCACAACCTGAAAAAATCAAAGTGGGAGGAGTCTCATTTTGTGGGAAGGGATACACACGAGGGATACCCAAAAACCAAAATTAAGAAAATTTTAAATGTACCTAGAATGAGCGAGTGCTTGTTGATTTTGCGTACATGGACCTTGAATGACTTCTGATAAAGTGTTAAAAACTTGACTCGCCACTCCGATAGCTTTAAAAAAATTTGCTTTTCCCGCGGGATCAATTAATTCTTTACTCGAATAATGCCAATAAAAATCCATTATGGATTCTTGAAGGCGAAGAAGGTAATCAACCGTGCAAATAACAACGTTTACAGTCGTCGTGTTACCCGCTTGAGTTCTTAAATAATTTTGCCATTCTAAAAGAAAATAACAAATTAAAAATTTTTAAACAAAAAATAAATTTTGAGGTTTTTTGAAATACGAAAATTTTTACCCAAATTGTGTCCTTCGCATGTCAATTGAATAAATCTAAAAAGTGCGCAAATAAAATCCGCATCGTGCATATTTTTTTCTCCAGCAGCTCCTTCTGAACCGACTCCCAATCCTTCAGCTTTTGTATTTCTTTCAAATGCATCCAAATCTAATACGCTGCAAGAATTCATGAGTCCCGCAATCGATGTGAAAAATCCGACATCTTTTTTTTCTTTTAAATGATTTAACATTCCCTAAAAAATCAATAAAATGTATGAAGAAAGAATGATGTTGGTACATTCATTTTGTTTTTCCCCCTATCACTAATTTTACCATTTGAATTTCAATGTTTCCTCCTCTTAGAATAGATATACCGAGTTGAAGAGTTTTCATAACCATATCGCTGGGAATTCCTTTACAAGCCGAAATGTGAAGAAGAATCATTTCTGCAACACCCCTATTGGCTAAACGAGCTTGATGAAACAATAATTTTTGCTTTTCCATTTCTTGTTCCTGAACAAATCACGTGGTAGCGTTAAAGAAAAACATTCAAAATTAAAAATTGCCTTTTAAAAAGAAAAACAAATAATAGTAATAATATTCACATGAATGGAAGAACCTCCTCCTTCTTCTTCTTCATCTCCTCCCTCTTCCTCTTCTTCACCGCAAGATCTAATAATAATAATAATAATAATAACTCTATTCATTATCACTTATGGTTAATTTAAAAAAAAAAAAAACTAACTTTGATGCAATATCTGCGTAAGACATATACAATGGATCTTCCTGTAGGGCTCCGCTTCGTTCCGTCATAGCTCCCCGACAAAATGTCGTAACCAATTGAGTTAGAGGATCCGGTTTTGCTTCATCTTCATTTTTATCATTTTTTTTAAGTTCGGCATCTTCAAACGATTGCTGTAATCCAATGCAAAAGCAAAAAGGTTCGAGTAAATTCATTTAAAACACGTAAAAAAAAAAAAAAAAAAAAAATTTCTTTTTTTACCGTTAAATCTTCAATCATAACTTCTTGACCTGTATTTTCATCTTGCAACCATTGTTCGAAATATGTTTTAACAAAAATATTAATCGATCTATGCCTGTCAGGAAAAAAAAAAAAATTAAATTAGCCTTTAAAATTTATTAACGTGACGTCATAATTTTATTAATAATATAAAAAACAAACAAACAAACAAACAAACTAACCTGATTTATTATATCTTTGACTATCTCTCGACCTTCTTCTGTTATTAATTAAAAAATGAAAACATAAAATGATGTTAAATAATTTAAACTCAGGTACAAGTTTTAATTGTAGAAAACTAAAAAAAATATTCATGCTTGTTAAAAAGAAAAACAAAATACAAACTCTTCAACAAACTCGATTGAAAACAAACAAATAATAATAATAATAATAATAATACCTGGGGAGAGAATGTAGAGAAGCTTGTCGAAAACATGAAAGTACGGCTCGTTTTCTTTGAGTTGATACAACAGATCGGTAAACGGCTTTTCCCTGCTGTTGCGGATGATCTATCTGAATTTTCCAATAAAAAAACATAATTAGCTTCTTTTTTTTTTATTTTTTTGTAAGTTCTTTTATACAATTTGAAATTTACCATATGAAGACCGTACAAAACTTTTGCCATTGCAACAATTCTACATACAAGTTCTTCAATTTGTTTATCTTTATCTTTTACTTCGACCGCAACTTCTTTTTTACTTCCTAATTTTGAATACAGGTAATGCTGCCAAGACATTTCGTCAGCGGGATCAATTTTATCTGGTAATGTTAATTGAGTTTTTGCAAAATCTGATATTTCGTTTTCGGGTAGTTTCTAGCGAGAAAAACAAAAGTACGTGCATTAAGTAAAAAAAATAATTATATTTTGCACACGTCGACAAGATGAAGAATACCTTTAAGTATCTATCTTTGCAATGTTGTACCAATTCTTGTTCTCTTCCGGCAAATAAGTTAAGTCCAACGGGTAATAATCTTTTCAAACAAGCCACCATTAAACTAGCTTGTATTTCTTTATCTTTGTCTCTCTTCTTTTCCCGATGCTTCTTTTTCTTTTTTTTATTACCCGACGATGGTGTACCACTCTCTGATGATACTGCTGTCCTCCTCGTTGCCGTTGGCATTATGAGTATCATATTATCGATTTCGTTTGCCGCAATAAAATTTTGTTCTTCTTTTAAAAAGTACTATCGACAAAAAAAAAAAAAAATTACAATAAACGAATTTTGAAGGGTAATGAGGGGGGGGGGGAGGAAGGGGAAATTTATATTTACCTGAGATTTAGACCACATGTTAAAAATTTCAGCCACGTGTTTATAAAGATCTTCTGCTTCGCTTATGTTATTTCTTAACCAATGATTTCTTTGCAAATCTACGTATTTTATCAAAAGAGGGTAAAATGCGTAAATATCTCGAACTAAAAGTTGCCAATCTTCTTGAATTTGAGCTTCCACCTAATAATAATAATAATAATAATAATTAATTTACTTTAGACTAAACAAAATGGCGTCTCGTCATTAAACCTTTTTTATTTTTATTTGGAAAATGTAATTTAATCACCTGCGAAGTGTCATCGCTCGAAGATTTTATAAAACCACGTAAAGATTCTTCTTTATGAAACATATTTTCTGTTCTCTTTCTCACTCTTTCGGCCAAAGGCAAAAATGGATCCTTAAGAAGTTCTTCCGATGAATTAATTATTATTTGTTGAGTGTAAGTTGCTATTCTCGTCATCCAAGGCGCGTTTTCGTTTCCGATATTTTTTTTTATTAAATTTAATACGCTTTTTAATAATTGATTCATGTGTTCTGCTGTTATCATGGTGACATGATTCCTACGAGTAAAAAATAAAAATTTTTTTTTGTTACTCGGTTTTAAAAACCAATAATTATTTGCTTTTAAATAAATTTCTTACCCTCCTTGTGGATTAACGTTATCTGGTCCTTGACTCCACCAAAAGGGAAGATAAGAACATAAAAGTGGAAGGACGACATCAATTATATGAGGAGAATCCGTGTGCGTTTTATCAGATTCGACAAAAGCATCCACATCCGACAAAATGGCTTCTAAAGATGGCATACTTTGCTCCATTCTAGCCATTACATCTGCGTTACGCAAAATTTAAAATTTGATTAATTATGCAAAATTATAAAAAAAAATATGTATTCGTAAGTAATTAATGAATTACCCTGGGCTTCTAACGAATGATCGGCTATACGATTAAGCAATGAATATTGATTATGTTTATTTAAATGAGGTTCCAAAAACGCAACCGGAAATGTTGAAGAAAAAGCTCCCAAACAATTTCCCAATGCCGGTCTGTGTCGATCGATTTCCGTTTTTAAATATTTCCTTTAAAGAAAAAACCCGCGAAAATGTATTTTTTTATTCAAAATAAATAAAAATTTTTGTTTTTTTTTATTACCTATCACCGTGAAGGGTACCATCGATTCCCAACGTGTATAAACTTCCTAATATCTTATATGCGGCCACTTGAATTTCATCAACTGAAAAAAAAAAAATTTTTTTGGCATGTTAGTACAAAACTTTTTCATTTTCCACTAAAAATTTTAATTTCTCATTGCTTTTTTATTACTTACGTAATAAATCACTACCGTATTCACAACTGGCTAAATGATCAAACATGGATGTCAGAACAGGTAAAACAACCGAATAGACGTATGTCAAAGAAGTGCAAGTTTTCAAATGAGTCCCTCTCAAATGACTATATTTTCCCTATTTAACAAAAATAACGTTAAAAATCTTTAGATAAAATCCAAAAAAAAAAAAAAATTTTATTAGTAATTAATCGTACCTCGTGAAGATTTAAAATTGTGTGACTCAAATCATCAGCGGTATTATTAAAAAATGTCAACATGGACGTACGAATAAATTCGGGACAATTTTTAACCAAAGATCTGAAATTTAAATTTAAATTTAAATTTAAATGATTTCTTTTTTTTTTTTAACGGAAAAATTTAAAATAAGATAAAAAAAATTACTTTGCATCAACTCCTTTAACTAATACTTGAAGACATCTGACAGTTATTCGAACATCCGATCCAAACGAAGTTAAACGAATTCTTAACAGGTTAGCCAACTTACAGAATAAACTAGAAAATGAAAAATTGTTAGGAAAAAAATTTATAATTTGGAATCATTTTAATTTAATTTTTTAAAATACACACAGACCTCGCAACCATTTCTTTTTCTTTGAGTGAAGCAGCACCGACATTATTCGAAGCTGTCGCCACAGCAATGAAATAATTTTTATGAGTATTAAAATATTTTTCGATCAAAGGCAAAACAACTTTTGAAAAAAATTTTATATCCCTCGAACACGTTTTAAAACTCGTTCTTCGGCTAAAAGTTGACGAAGGTTTTAATAGTTTCATGTTAATGGCTGCTTTGTCGGTGTATTGTATTAATTTTTCCAAAAGACTGTATGCGAAACGATTTTCAACGGACGACAGCGCTGCAGCTTGTTCCGTTTCTCCTCCTTTGTACGGTCTATGAAGTTTGTAACCTTGGTACTGAAGATATTTTAAAAATTCTTGCGACCTTTCACGATCTTTTCTCTTTTCCTTATCGGTCAAAAGGTCATAGGGAACCAATTGTGGATGTACGACACCACCGCAAGCCGTAAGTTCTTCTTTTTTTTTCTTTGCCCAAATATCATGAGCGTTTTCAGCAAGTCTTTCTGCCATATTTTGCATTTCTTTATTCAACGTTAAATTAGTCATATCAACCGGATGCGGATGATAATTAAATGGCGTTGATGATTCCGCCTATTGGAAAACGAAAATTTTGATTTTATTTTTTGCAAAATGTTTGTTTTTTTTACATTAATTTTCCGGAATGCTTACAGATGTGGGTTTTGACTGTCGACGCATTGAAGCTCTATGGCTTGATGGTATATCAACTTCAGTATGTTCAACATTCCAACCGATCGCCAATAAAGCCTTGAGAGATTCCCTAACGGGTTCTTTGTATCTTTCTTTTTCCTAAACAAAAAAAAATTCATAATCGATAATAAAAAAAAAATGGTGCAAATAATAATTAAAAAACAAGACTACTTACGTAATCATTAAGCATACTATAAGGTTTCAATCTCGGATGAGTTTTGTTTGTGTCAGACCACGTTTCTCCATACGTCCATCCATTTTCAAGTTTTCTACTAGCCCAAGCATCATGATAATGTTCAGAAAATTTTTGAACAATTGAATTCAGATCTGTGTTTAATACAATGCTGAAATGAAAAAAAAATGTTAAGTTAAAATTTAAATGTTATTTTTTAAATAAAGAGTGTTTTTAATGAATACCTTGCAGTGTTTATAGGCTGAGGAGTGTAAGAGCCACGTTCTCCAGCTCCTCCTCGTTCGTAAATTTCGTCATCAAATGTTTTCGAAAGTGTATAATCTGGAGGCAGAGCACAACCAATTGCAGCCAAACAGGGTAAAGCTTTACCAAATAAATCTGGATCATAATCCTAAAACGAATAAATTATTATTAGCGATGCACATATAGTAAATCTCCGTTTAAAATAGATGATTACCATTTTGGATAACGAATCAAATATGTTACTGAACAAAACCATTGTGAGTCGTTTTTCTTCATCGCTTGACGCCCCATACAAACTTTGTTGGCCGCTACTCGATCCGTAGTATTTAGCACAACGATCGTAATGAAGAGTTAAAAGCTAAAATTAAACAATGAAAAAATAATTTTTTTTTTTTTTTTCTCAAATTTAAAATGATTTTTTTAAAATTGTAATAAATAAATGAAAATTTACTCTTAAAGCGACGGTCGTATATTCTGATAAATTAGAAACATCAACGGTTAATTTTCTTAAAAGTTTTAAAAGCATGCTCGGTTGCATTTGACTAAAAAAAAAGAAAAAAAAAATTGATAAAAAATTTATAATTTAATAGGGATTTATTAGTAAAATTAAATAATGTCAATGCCTTGTCAATGCCACCAAAAAATCTGAAACAGATTCTCTTTGTCCCTTTGTCAACATTCTATTTTTTGATAAGCGATAAACCGTGTGAAGAGTTGCATCTAAAAGACTCGCATAATTATCTGCTTCACTGTAAAATTTTGCATGTTTTATCAAAAGTGGTAAAACAGAATTTCCCATATATCGATTCATTGCCAAAGCCATTTCCGATTCAGATCCATCACTCTGTAACAACAAAAAAAAAAATAATAATAATAATAAGTATTGGAATTTCTAAAAAAATTCATTCAATATTAAAAAAAAAAAAAAAATTACTCTGTCAAGCATAGTTGCACATCTTAAATCTGGTAAAAATGCATCTTCTAAAAGTCTGAAAAATAATTCTTGCGTTTCGATTCCGTAGACTCGTTCTAAAAACATAACTATACTTTGCTTATGACCGGGAATTAGACCTGAGGGCATGTCACTTTTGGCTCTTTCTTCCCCGGCTGCTGGTTGTTGGAGAGTAAATCGCAATGCTAAAACCCCTTGAAGGTCTTCCAGCGGAACTAAAGATCGAAGAATGGCCCGAGCTCTGATGGATTCATTTTTATTCTAAAATTAAAAATGAAAAATTTATCTTTCTTATATTATTTTTATGGCATAGTTTAAAAAATGCCTACCAAAGCGATAACGGTTGAATCTGGTGCACATCTACCCAATAAATCTACTAAAGTACAATAAAATGCAAGTATTGCAGCTCCAGTATCAATGTAATCTTCATCTTCATCACTTTCGGGTAAGGGATGTTGAAAATCTGACATTGCCATCGTACCTTCAGCTTCATCCATTAATTTTCGTCGATCCGATATTTTTTCAGACATCTTTTTAAAAAAATAATAATTTAATAAATAATGTATGTTTTTCCTCTCCCCTCCCCAAAAAAAAAAGTATAAAATTTAAATTATTAATATTCGCCTGACCAACCTGATTAGCATCCACTATTGCACGTAAAAGACCTTCTCCTTCTCCTCTTAACGCTGGTCCGAGACATTCTGGACGACGAATTAATAGCCGAATAACCAAATTTGCATTTTCTTCCACGCTTTCCCCTGACACACAAAATAAATTTTAATTTAAAAATGTTTTAACCATTCACCAAATTATATTCAACGTAAAAAAAAAAAATTTATTTACCATTTACCCAAACGCAAAATCTAAGAAAATCTAAATATCTTTCTCCTTCAACAGGATCCCAACCCAAATCTGGATAACCTTTTTCAACTAAATCCGAATTTGATTGTAGTCCACACCGAGATAAATAAACAGCAATTTTTTCTAAATAATGTTCTCTGGACAGAAGGAAAAAGAAAACATCAGAAAAAGTTTTTAAAAATATTTTTTATGAATCATATATTTAACTTACCTAAGAGCAAGAGCTAATTCTGTATTTTCCATAACAGAAGAGTATGCAACATCTAACGGAGTGCTACCTCTCAAAGATGGACGGGAAAGTAAAATATTACTGTTTTCTAATAAGAAAGCTAAATGATCAAACATTGCTTTTTGATTTTGCCTTGATGTTCTACAGAAATAGCAGAGAAAACGACAGCATGCAACGACCATTTCATGAGATGTGTCCTGAAATGTGTCAATTTTCAGAAAATTATTTTTCGTACCATAAAAAAAAAAAACAAACATAATTCTATAAATTTAAATGCATTTAATACTTTTTCTTTTGGCACAGCTTCTCCTTGATCGGTCGTTTGAGGCGTATCTGATTGAGTTTGTGCTCTACGACCCAAAGTGTTCATCATGACGGCCATAACGTTTTCGTGAATACGTAAAACTCTAATCAAATCCGGGTGTTGGAAAAACGTGTGATTATTTACTAATTTCCTAAACGAAATCAAAATTTAAAATGAGTAAGGATTTCATTTCATGAAAGTTTTTTTAAAGATTATTACCATAATCTTTCTCTTAGTAATCCTTCTTCCTCTTGTGACATTTGTACGGGTAGCAATGAACGTATTTGACTTAATCCGACCCACATAAGAGCAGCATCGTCGCGAGTTTTCGCATTCGTCACGTATGTTTTTCCCAAAGCCTTTATCAATTCGCCAACGCTATCATATTGACGAACCAAAAGACTAAACATTTCTCTAACCAGTTTAGATGTTTCTATTTGAGATTCTTCGGCCCATCGCACAATGGTCGATATAAGAACCTTTCGAAAAATTGCCTCTGGAGATTTTTTTTGTGGTTCTTCTGAAGGTTCAGGAGTTTCTTCCAATTCTTTAACGGCATGTATTAGGCTATAAAGTTTCTTCATTGTTGCTAAAAAAATTAAAAACGCACGTAGATATTTTATTTAATTACCGACCCTATATCATACTCAATTAGAAATGAACTCACTGGGTTTATCACTCGTTTCTTCATCCTCACTTTCCAGTGGCTCTTGAAGAGCCGTTAATGAAACTTGGCTCATTAGCTTCGAATGAAAAACGTTTAATTTTTCTCTTAATTCTATTCCACACGGACAATTTTCTACGTCATCATCTTCAAGGTTTTTAAAACCAAGGATGGCGTTCATCTAAAATATTTTTAATTATTTATTTCCGAAAAAAAAAAAAAAAAATACAAATACCTTAAAATAAAAATATTTTTCAAATAACCTGTTCTCTCGGTGGACATCTAAACTCTCGAGTTTTTTTAGCCGCAATGGCAGATGGTAAATCCGATTGTTTTATTTCTGTATATCTTCTGAGTTGATCCTGTTGCAACTCACCAACGAATTCTGCACTGAATGCTATCAAAGATTCGACTCTGTGCCTTAATTGAATGTCGCCAAAATGATGTAAAACGTAACACATTTGAAGTTTGGCTCCTTCCGCCATTTTCATATGTAACAATCCTTTTCTATGTTCATCTTTGCCACCTAAAACACAATTAAATTATAATTAATTTTGAAAAGGGAGGGAGGGGAGGGGGAAAAACGGAACGAATGAGTAATTTATTTATTACTTTTATCAAATGTTTCATCCCAAGTTTCAGGATCCATCATAATCAAAAGCTTTTTTAAATCTTCATCTCGAAGAACTTCAACAAGTAAAAGTCTGTCTACAAGTTTTAATAATGGCCTAAAAAAAAAAGTAAAGAATCGTACACTTATCTATATTTTTTTTATCGATAAAATTAAAAATTTTTTTGATAATAAAAATAAATTACAAAAATAAATTTTCATTGCTTCCCCCGATGGGATCCCGATTATGAACTTGATTAACTTCAACTGCTTCTTCTAAAGCTTGCATAACAAAATCTCTAACGACATTCAAAGGAAAATATGGACTATAAAGTTCTCGAATATTTTCCACTTGTTCTCTATTAAAAAAAAAATGATACCATTAATTTTCGAGACAACTACATTAAATGAATTAATTTTTTGTGAAAAAATAAACTTACGAAGAATCAGTCATTTTCATTTTTGGTCTCACCGATTCCATATTTAGCGAACTTAAACTGTGATACATATCTGAATCTCGATACAATTCTTTTAATTCTTGACTTAACGGAATCACGTATTCATTTTTAGAAACTTCCCTGAAAATCAATAAAAAAATTTATTTTTTACATTTTATTCAAGGAAAAAAAAGAAAAACAAACTTACATTGTAGTCGCATGAGATTCCAAATGTAAAGAAATTAACAAATCGTAAAATCCTCTTCTTAAAGGACCCGACATATAAGCTGATTTAATTGCATATAAAAGTTGTCTTTCATCCACGTGCTGACATAAAATATGAGCTGCTCTATAGTTCGATTGATAGCATAAAGCCGAGTATAGAGTTAACGTGTGAGCGTGGAAGCTAAATTAAACAAAAAAAAAAAAAAACTCTTTTGGATATTCCACTTTATTATAAAACGATTTTCGGAAAATTTCATATACCTTAATAAACGTTCCATTTCGATTAATTCAAGAACATCAATGCATCTATCTTCTTCGGGAATGTGAACGGCGAGCATTGAAATCGGATCTTCGCACAACATACTCCAACCTCTTATATCGGACAATTTAAGAGCATGAACTTGCAATGATTGATTAGGTACTCGCGCCCATTGATTTGGTTTCAGACATTGAACTTTCAACCTTGGAGGAAACTTGAAAAAAAAAAGAATTGTTAGCAACGTATAATTTTACCTTTTTTTTTTCTTTTTTACATACCTGAGGAGTGATGTGACGTTCAGAGTTCATTAAAACCGCAGCTGATAAGGGCAGAGTGGATGAAGTTCGACCCAATTCTACTTGTAAAATTTCTTTACTTGTTGCTTCGACAAAAATTGCTGGGAAAAGTTTTGTTTCGGGTTCCATTTTATATTTGTGACTGGTTTCTTTACCCTCACAGGTATACGTTATAAAACCTGTGGCCGTATCAACAAAACAACCGATAAACATTCCCTGAGAAGCCCCTTTACCAGAGGTATCACTTGATACTTCATTGTATAATTCTGATGCTTTAACCATGTAACAACTTTGACGATCAATTCTAAAATAAAAAAAACGTTTTAAAATTTTTTTTGTTGTAAGAATTTCGCGTGACCGAAAAAACTTAATTAAAAATTACCTTTCTTTTACATTATTAAAATCGTCAATTTTAGTTATTGAAGCTTTTCTCACTTTGGTTTGATTGAATTCATTACTGAAATAATGATATTGCGTTGTTACCCATCCGACGTAAACATGGGAGGGATCCTGTCCCGGAAATATTCTGACTCCGTAAAAATATTCATTTATAAGTTTTAAACATTCTACGTCGAATGGTTCGTTTCCTACGGAATCGACTCCCGGAGACATTTTGTCTTGTAAATTAACATTTCTATCGCCTGCCATTGAATCTTTACCATCGGCCTAAACAGCAGAAGAAACATTCATTAATGCTTAATATACAAAAAAAATTCAATTAAATAATAAGAAAATTTTATACTTTTGAAATTCGGATTTGTGGAGGTGACAAGTGATCGTAATCGGGAGAACCTGGTTCGGGAGTTCTGTTTTTCCTTTGTCGATCTCCATCTTTTCTTCGCGAAAAAAATCTAATAAAAAAAAAAAAGTCACATTCTTTCATTCCTTTCAACATTTAACTAACACTTTAATAATGAATTTTTATTATTTCGTACCGAAAAGGAGATCTGCCTCTAGTTTTTTTATCCTTTTCTTCATTTTCTAGCTTGTTAATATCTATTTCACTGTTAGATCTGTTGTTTTTTCTAGAACCCATTGTACCTCCGTGATTCCTACCCTCAAACCTTGTCAAAGAACCTTTTCTAGAAGGTTTCGGGGAATGACCTTGATTTTGAATGTCTGGTCTGTTTAAGAGCATTTCATCAGCTTCAACGGCATCTTCTGAATATCCTCTTGCAAGGCCTTTAATATCATTGATAGAAAAACCAGATTTCATTATTTGTTCGATGTGAGCAGGTGTGGGATGTTCAGACTCGGTTAGTAAACGCCTTTGCCTAGATTTTATTTCCTGCCATCTTTTGTTTTTTTCTTCTTCACTAAAAATCAACAGATAAAAAATGTAATAAATTTAAGTAAATAAATAAATTTTTACTGAAGCACAAAGTTCTCACTCAATCAAAGTAGACTGACAAATAACTGGTAGTGAAAGACGTAAAAATTCCCAATTTGCTTTTTCCATTGTTTCAAACATATTATGACTGATTTTAAGACAAGGAGGAGAGTCAGATCCCGCCGGTATTCTGAGGACATCAATCATTGAATCTGAACTTTCGTCTGTATTTTCAAATATCGGTTGATCTTTTGTGTACCAATAAGTTACTGGACGATTCATATTCCTAATAAAAAAAAAAAATTTCATCATAAATAATTAATTGAGAAAGTTTAAGTAAGTTTAGTTTTTAATAACTAACACGCAAAATGGTTCATAGCCTTCTTGTAATCCGCAATTTGAAAAGTATTGCAAAGTGTTGACGTCTTGACCAAAAGTCAATCGAGCTTTTTGACCGATACCAAGCGTGCAAGCAGGTATAAAAGAATCTCCCTGCACTTCGGCAAATGTAGTTTCTCCTCCTAAAGCATCCATTAAAAGCTCACCGTTAAGAGAAAAACCTAAAAAAAAAAAAACCAGGTATGAATATATAAGCTGATTAAAACTGTTTTAAAATTAATATTTTTTTATTATTAACTTATGGTTCTGTCTAGTAAATCTAAAAACACTCCAACTACGTCTCCTATTTTCCATTGCTTTCCAAAAGACTCTCCGGATCCGCAAAAAACTTTTTCTTCCTTAAAAGGAAACATAAATAAATTTCACTTATATATTATTATTAAAATTAAAATGAGTTTTGCATTATATAAAAGTATTTACGTTAAAGCCATCAAAAGCCCAAGTGTACTCGTCGCTTCCTAATTTGTTTCCAGGTGGACAATCAGCTCTCGCCCAACCAACTCTCATGGGACCAGACGATAAAATTTCAAATTCAAAATACCATTTTCCATTACTGACAGCGTAATTTTTTTCAACTCGATATGTTCTAAAATCTTGTTCTCTACTTTTATTAGCCTCAGCCAGCAATGCTTTAAATATTAAAATTTTTTTAAGTTATATTTTTAATAAAGCTAACGTTTATCAAACGAAAAAAAAAAAAAAATCCAACCTTCCTGTTGTTCTCCTGTTGGCGGATCTAAATTATATCCGTACACAAGAAGTGTGCGAACCGTTTCGCTAGCCGTATCTCGATTGGCTTTTTTAATTGCATCATCAACTTTAATGTATGGAACTAAATGCGGGCTTCTTAATAAATCAGGATCCTGAAAAGAAATTCGAGCTTTAATTATAAATTTTTACAACTAAATCATAAGAACTAAATTAAATTTCCTAAATAATGGATACCTCGTTTAAACCGTACGTCCAACCTTGTTGAATTCTTTCTTTAGCCCACAAATTGTGAGTATTTTCGGCTAAATGATCAACTAATTCTTCCATTTTTATGCTTAATGCTACGGCACTTAAATCCAAAGGAGCAGGTTTATATCCGTTCGGTTGTAAAAATGTTTCGTTTGGAAGCCGTATCTGTTTAATACGAGAAGGAGGTTTATCCATGGTTATGTAATAACCCAATGCCAAAATGGTCCTAAATTTTAAAGTTATAAAAAATTATAATTTTCAAATTATATAATTTGTGTAATCAAGTTCTCAATTTTATATACTTTAATGTTTGTATGGCTAGCTGAGAATCATATCTTTTTTCAGCGGGTGGTAATTTTTCAAATTGTGTCAAACATGGATGAATTTTTCTTACGTCATCTCTTATTTCTCCAAATATCCAACCTGCTTCTATTTTATTCATTGCCCACATTTCGTGAATATTTTCCGCAAGTTTATCCCGAATATTTTCAATGTAACTTGGAAGTGTTATCTTAAAAATAAAATTTTCAAGGTTTTTATTGCCGGAAAAAAAAAAAAATATAAGTAACAAATATAAAGTATAAAATTTTACCGTTGATGTATCGACTGGATTAGGTACGAATGCCGTATCTCCTTCGACTAACCAAGGACCGGCTAGTACATTTTTATTTAAATTTCCAAAATAAAAACATGGATCAATAGATAAGACTTGTTGTGGCATCAAACATTCAATGAGGGGAGAAAATTCTTCAGGTGGAATATATTTTAATTTACCATGATCTCCGCCAAGCAAAAACCGGCAACTAAAAGGAAAAAATTTAATTATTCAATTTTTTTTTATAATTGTACTAATATTCAATAAATAATTTGTAAAATTTTACCTTAGTTTAGATGAACAGCTGATTACCGGAAAAAACATACCATCCAAATTAAAATCTTTAAAAGTTGCATTAATTTGAACGCCGTTCATTGTAAAAGTTATTATTGGAACATTCAAATCAAGAGCCACTCCAATAATATCTCCTTTTTTTATATATGGTTCAGTTGCCTCAGGCACTACCTCTGTTTTTCTTCCTCCGGTCCATAAATTGGCACCGTCGAAACCATAAGAATATAAATCATCTCCTACTCCATTTCCTCCCCATTTTTCTCCTCCTCCAGGATAGGGAACGTATCTAAAACATAATAATTTTTTTTCTACAAGTTTAAATTCGATTTTTAATAAATTGTCACACGCAAAAAACAACATACCCCGACGTGTTAGCCCACCCTATTCTCAAATGTGGTTTTAAATGAGTTGTTTGTTCAATGTGATCTAATGTTACTTCAAAATACCATTTTTGATAAACTGCCGAATTTTCAACGCGACCAACGAATATATTGGGTCTGACACTAATAATAAAATTAAATATAATTATTAATCAATGTCACAAAAATTATAACTTGATCATTTATAAGCACATTGGATTGTTCAATGTTTGAAGTTATGTTTAATTTTAATTTTACAAAGGTGAATATTATTTAATAATAATTAATTAATATATAAATTAAATTATTAGAAGAAGAAGAAGATGATGATGCCTGTGCCAAATGAACTTATTTATTTTACCTGGCAACATGATCGACCAGTTGCGTTTGTAGTAAAAGATTCTTTCCGGGTAATAAAAAATCACAAATGTTGTTTTGAGAACTTCGTACAGCTACACCGTTTCCCACGCACAGAGAACATAAAACGTCTAATACTTTTGGATCTCTACCATGTTTTTCCAGCAAAGAAATAATAACTTTAATATGTTCATCCTAAAAAAAAGTAAATCGTTGTATAAATTCACGCAATATGATAAAATTTTATTTTAACGGATGCTATGGATTTAAATTATATTTTGTACCTTCATCATATTTAAAGCTTCGGGTGAATCAATTAGAACACAATGAAGTACGTCCAACATTCCGGTACCTTCACCAGATGCCTGTGATCCTAATCTACTAAAAAGCCAATTTAAACGATTCGTGTTGGCAAATTCCTTACAATTGGTATGATTTCCTTTAATTATGGCAGCTAATGAAATGAATTTTAAATAATTATTAAAATAAATAGGCTCCTCAATAATAATTTATGAAACTTTTTAATTGTAAATTAAATAATGATTTTACCCAAAAGTTGATATAAATAACTGGAAATGGCTTCCCAATTTTGCCCGATTTCTCCAGGTAAAGCAACTAAAAATCCTTGTCCGGTAATTATATTTATTTTATCAATGGCTTCAAGAATTAAATTTAAAATTCCTTCTTCTTGAAATAAATCTTGTCGATTTCTCAAAGCTTTTAACTTGTTTTGTTTTTCTTCATGCTCTAAAAAGTGTGATAACATAATTCATTTAATTATTACGTCTAAATTTTAACACGAAATTAAATTCGAAGTAAAAAAAAATAAATAATAATTTAACTTGCCCATTTCTTCTTCGGGTTGTTCAAAATAATTAATTAAATCTTCCAAGCACATAACGATTTCGGTTAAATTAACGGTTGCAAAAAATGATGATGTTCTTCTTGTTGCTTGTATATTTTCAAGACTCCTGTCAAATGATTATTCAAAATAAAAGTAAAAAATAAAAAAATAATTCGTAACAAAAATTTTCAATGGAAAAAAACCACTGACTTGATAGATCCTGTAAAGAGAGAACTGCATTTTCTTATAACTCTTGCAGTTCTAGATTCTTCTTCTTGTGATCTACTAAAATCCAAACCATCGTCCATTTTTCCTTCTTCATGTAAAATAGCTTGTTTTTCTTCAACTTTTCCAACACCTTTTTTCTTTGTTTCAAAAGATTTATAAGATACCCAAAGTCCCGTTTCTGAATGTTGCATTATAACTGTGCTGTCACCGTATTTGATTATAGGTGCTCCGATCACTTCAAGATCTTTGTCTTCTAAAACTACTTTTTGATCATCTTTTTCCTGACGCAAACAAAAAGTGGAAAGAGACGTCGTGGCTTCTTCTCTATTTACTAAATAAAGTTCGTTGTTTTCATTGACTCCCAAATAGCGACCTGTCGTTATGTGTCGAATCCTCATGGGATGGTACCAATTAATAAATCCTCCAGACCATTTGGTCCTTGCCAATTCCAAACGCCAAAGCGATCTTGCTTGACTCATAACACTACCACCTTCGTAGACCACCATACTGAAAAAAAATTACGGGAATAGTAATTATCAATCCAATAAGTTAAATAATTTTAAAAATGATAAGTTATATTACTTTTGCCCAGGTTCTTCGCTCCACGTGGATGGAATCGTAAGACATTCATCACCCCCGTGAAAAAATCTTAAAACATCTCCTCCGAAAACATAACCGACATATTTCATTCTGCTCACACCTGTACCATACGGTTGTACGGACCAATGGGTCACATGAAATGATGCGTTAACAATCGACAAATCGTTTTCTTTGGTCGTGTGCTAAAAACAAAATCTTATGTAGTCATCAATACTGAACAAAATGAATATTTTGACGTTGAGAACAATTGCTAAAAAAATTTACCAAATATCTTTCGGTAGCAACAGAAACTAATATTAAATCGTCACCGACACGAACTTTTTCACCCTCGGATCTTTGCTTAGAAGCCGGATGAACTGTCCACCAGCAAGCTTCTCCAAGAGAATGATCTTGCAAACCAACATCAAAAGATAATTTATCTTGTGAAGAACAAGTTGACAGACAAGCCAAATACTAAAAATATATCCATGTTTTTTTTTATGGTAAAAATTAATAAGATCATTAAAAAATTATGTACATATTTATTTTATTATTTCTTACCATGTCACTATTTTGATGTCTCAAAAGAATAGCATTACCATAAAGCAAGGTACGGTGGCCTGAACCTGTTCCTTTTCCCTAAAATTTTCACATAAATTATTTTAAAATAAATATTTATCAAATTGAAAACATAAAATCAATCAATGACTGATCATCTATCTAAAATAATACGTTTATTATTATTATTCTTTAACGTTTATTTATTATTTCATCGTATTAAATTATTATAAGTTAATAATTTAAATAATTATTAATTCTTTGATGATATTGATTGATATTGATTGTGAAAATACAAAATATAAATTTGACTAAAATACATAAAAAATAAAACCCAAAAAAAATTTTTAGATGAGATACAAAATGAATGTGAATTTTGTTATCATTATTATTATTAATAATACATTTAAATAAAACGACGACTAAACTACTTTATGGAAAATGAGTTTACCTCGAGTTTAATAATACTATGATGATGATGATGATGATGATTAATAATTAAATTTGAATTGAATTAGTTATTACAATTTTTTTTTTTTTAAAATAATATAAATTTAAAAAAAAATATATAGAGAAAATAAAATACATATTTATTTAAACACAAAAAAAAAATTCAATAAACGTTTATTTAAACATAACTAACATATTTCGAAAAAACTTTCATTTATTATTATTATTATTATTATTACAAATAATCTACTTTTACATACATAAGCAAATAATAATAACAAAAAATAAAAAATAAAAGACGTACAATAATTATTTATTACTTACAACTCTTTCGCCATTCTGAAAGAAACAAAATTTTTTTAAACAAAAAAAAAAAAAAAAAATCCACACTTAATTATTATTATTATCATATATACCTTAACATTTATTAATTAGCTATTAATATTGTATTTTTTTTTTTTAATAAATAAATAAAATAATAATAACTAATTCATTCTAGCGGGGAAAAAATATTAATTTCTAAAATTATAATTAATAATATGAAAATATGATTTATTTATATAGATTATTAATAATAATAATAATAATAATAATAATAATAATAATAATAATAATAATAAAACTCACGGATTCTGATCCGGCTGCTGTGACCAATTCTTGTAAAGCTCTAACGGATAAAGCTTGTTCAATAACAAAAACACATTGAGATAAATCAGGTGGAATATTCTAGAATCCGAAAACAAAAAAATGCATGTATATATATGTTTTTTATAGGATTTTCTTTCAAAAAAAAAGAAAAATGTCGGAGTTATCTTACTTTATCAGCAATATTTTCCAAAAAACAATGTCTGTTACCAAATCCTTCAGCAGCAAGACAAACTCTTTCACCTGTGGCTGTACAAGAAAGACAAACCATATCTTCCTGCCAAAAAAAAAAAAAAAAAAATTATGTATTATTAATTCATGTAATTATGGATTAACAATTAAGTAAATAAATTTATTTAATTTTTTTTTTTTTGGGGAGGAGAGGGGAGAAATATAAATTTTCAAAAGTTTGTTAATTAAATCAGTCTAGAAAAAAAAAACTTAAGGTCAGTTTTTATTTAAAAAAAAAGAAATCTAAAAATAAATTTTTAAAATCAAGCCAAAGACCTGGGGAAAAAAATATTACTTAAATTTTTTAACTTAATTTTTAATACATTAAATTTTATGTACTTTTATTTACTACTATTTCTACTCTTTTATTTATTATACATAAAATTATTTTACATTATTAATTTTTATTTATATATATATAATAATTTCTTTTTTAAATAAATCTTTTATATATTGCTAACATGATATCTAAGTAAAATTTATAATAATAATTTTAAGGTATAAATTTGTGGGGAGGAAGAGGAGGGAGGGGGAGTAGGAAAACTTATTATCAATAAATTTAAAAAATAATAACTTAATATATGTAATAAAAAAAAATTACCGTTCGTAAAAATGAAACATCATCTTGTTCAGATCCCCCTTCCGCCTCCGCCATTTTTTTTTTCAAAAAAAAAAAAATTTGTGGAGTTTAACGATTATTTCTTTTTATTATTATTATTTTTATTTATTTATTTTTTATTTTTTACATCATGTTCGATAATTAATTAATTATTAACTGACACACAACGGATTAAACTCGTTAAAAAATCGTTTTCGGTAAAAAAAAAAAATTAAATTAAATAAAAAAATTTGCCCATTTTAAAATCAAAAAATAAACTGCGAAATTTTTTCTTGTAAAAAGCGGTAAAAAAAAAAAATTGTAGGGCGCATGCTCAGTAAAATAAATATTTTTAATTTATTCATCATTATCATCATCATCATCATTAACGTCTTTCAATTCCGTTAATATAACGGAGTGGAAAAACGAACTAACCAACAATATAATTAATCTCTGATTCATTTTATTACTTTTAATCTGAAGCATATAATCATCATTTAATTATATTAATTGGTGATTAAATAAATAAAAAAAACACAAATAATAATAATAATAATAATAATAATAATAATAATAATAATAAGTAATTTATGTATATATATATGTACGTAACCATTTCGATTTAATTTAAATGAATTTTAATTATTAAAATGAATATAATATAAATTTACAATTGACAATTAATAAAATAATAATAAAAAAATTAAATTTAATTAATTAATTAATTAATTAATTACAATTATAGATAATCCCAGATATGAAACAAAAACGAGATCAAAAATTAAATATAAAATGACAAATAATAATAATAATAATAATAATAATAATAATAATGCACAAATAAAATAAAAGTTCTGAACAAAAAAAAAATAATAATAATGACAAAGGTTTTTAATAAAATCAAAAAGTTGGACGGATGTTATTAATAATACAATGAAATTAATTATTAAATAATTATTTTACAGAAATTTTAAATAAAAAAAAAAATTATTTTCAATGATATTAATATCATTATTATTATTTAATTAAAAAAAAAAAAAAAAGGAATGTAACTGAACACATTTTAAATTTGAAAAAAAAAAAAAAATCTATAAATCATCAGAACTACTATTAAACTCTTCTAATTTTATTTTAATAATAATAATAATAAAGGAATTAAAACTCAGAATTATCGATTTATTAATTGATTGATTGATTGATTAATTAATTAATTAATCATTTTTTTTAATTATAATAAATTATATATATATGATTTTATTTTTTACAATGTGAGAGATAAACTCATTTTAAATTTTTAAATTTTTTTTTTTTTAACTCAAGTGCAAATTCATAAATGAATAATAATAATAATAATTAAAATATATATGTACATACAAATGATAATGCGATAATAATAATAATATTATTGTTATCAGTGATGATTGATAATCCACATTAAAAAAAAAAATAATTCAATAAATTTAAAAAGTTTTTTTTTGTTTTTTTTACTCATAAATAATAATAATAATAATAAAAATAATAATTAAAAAGGGGTAACAAATTTAAAATTT